ATTTAGGACTTTATTACATTTAGGACAGTTATTACATTTAGGACTTCAACAGCGCCCTCCTTTTTTCCGTTTTTGACCAACAAGTATATGAATGATCTCATCTTTGGTCAAAATAAGGTTTCCAATCATTCGTGCCCCTCTTCCACCGTTCTTGATGATACTGTCCTCGCCGTACCCCCCTAAGGCTCCTATTGCTTCTATTCTGTATTCACCAGTGTGTGGCACAGTCCATTGTTGAATACCGCTAGACAATGTAACTTGCCCGTCGTGATCCTGACCTGCGTAGTGACTTCCAATTTGGACTGGTCACTTAGTTCCACCTTTACCAAGAGTTGTAAACACTGCTGTAAATCCTGTATAATAATCGCAAAATGAAAGGGAAAGTTATCGTACTGCTAAGAAATTAATTGTCATATTGCTTCGGGTATTGCTAATGTTGCACACTACCGCTTACAAAAAAGTATTCCTGTAAATTCGGCAGATATAGTTATCTTCATGACGGTATCTTCCCACTGGCTCTGGTAATGATCCTAGAATCTACTTTCACTTTCAAATATGCTGTCACTCTTGCTGGTAACTCCTCGGAAACTGGTAAATTCACCAAGCTGCATAGCTTTCAACGCCGCAAAATGCAAATTCCTTCTCATCTTTAAGAAGAAAACTCCTGGTTGACCTTGATGGACATCGTTCGAGTGTGTACCTTACGCTTAAGACCTAAGCATCACTGATTCCCGTGATCTCCAATGGGCAGAGCATGTAGGAGAAATAACCTCAAAGGCCAACAAAACCTTCCGCGAATCAGGCGAGTTTCCGGGATGTCAATGACGTTTAGATAAGGAAGCTACTGTGCTGTCCTGTGGTCAGACCCAAACTTGAATAATGCTCCTGCCTATGGTCTTTATTATACAGTCATACATGGAGCATTAATTGAAAAAATCCAAAGGTGTCCAACTAAGTTTATTCCTAACCACCGACCGAGTGATGTCTCTTATACTGATGGGCTCGTACTTCTGGGCCTGCTGCCGGCAGAACACCGCACAGAAATTAGGGACATTACACTCTTGTGCAAGTTTAGGTCTGGTGCTATGTCCACCAGAAAAATAAGGGGAGCCTCCATGCTAACGTTCCCCGTTGTCAGATAAGAAATGACCTCACATTCATTTTACAGACTAGGAAAAAAAAATGGCGGATTCCTCACCTCTATCACAATCATGGCCTTCAAATCCAGATCCAAAAGCACACAAACACTGATAATCTCTGTGTGTAAAGCCAGCTTGGCATGTTGCATTATTTCTGCAAGGATTACTGACGCAAGCATTCTTAAGAACAAAAAGAATATGACCACTTAAATTTTTGTGCTTGTCTTCGGCGCGTGCATTCATGTTTGCGAGTGCGAAATGTTATGCAGGTTTGTGAAATCTACGCTTCTTCCATCATGTCCATGTATTCCGCGCAAGCTTCTCTGTTATCTACACAAATGTTTGCGTTGAGCACATTCGTTCCCGTTCCAAGTGTGGCACTGTTCAGAGCGAGAGCAAAATCTGCGTGTATCCTATAAATGTATAAAAAACGGCTCCAGAAGCGGTAATCCTTAAATAAAAAAAAATATGCTTCTCTTAATTCATTATTTCAAAAGCTTAAACGTTCGATTGTCTTAACCTATATTCTGGTGGGTGAAAGGAGAATTTAGAGGTGTGGCAGAGGTCGAGGGATGCTTAGTCTTTTAAAAAAGCCTCAACTAGTATAAAGTCCCATACTCTTGGCTGATAAACGTTAATCTCACCTCAGCTCCGCGGTAAATGTAACTTTCGTTTTTTACCAGGTCTTCATCGTGTTCAATGGTCGCGTTATTCAGATCACACTCGTGTGTTCCAGATGCCTGTTTTATCTTATGGAAGTTATAATTGACACAGTTAGGTTCCAGATAGCATTGTAACCTGCAGAGATCCTCGTCGAATACTTCAATAGTTCGAACCGTGTGATTCTCCAACCTGTAGCCAGGTTTAGGAAAAACTGGCAAACTTCAAATTGCGGCAGTTACCCGGTGAACAATTATATGGAGAAAGTTGCTATGTCACATTGAGCCCCTCTGCTGAGACTGGAATTGTAAAGAAGTGTTACTCCTGAATTATTGCTTTGATTTAACACCAGGAGAGTGATTTATATTGATAATCTGACTTATCATGTTTATATTCCTTTGGTTGTGATCAGCTATCGTGATCAAACGATTGTTCCCGAAATCCATAAACAACTTTGTTGTTACGTAGAGTTAATCGTGTTTATTACGTGATAATGGTCCTCTCGTTTGAGCATGTTTGGTTCTTTAAAAAAAGGGTTATTATCGGAACGTGTCGTGAAGTTTTTATTGTGTCAATTTATGAGAAGCGGTTGTAGTTATGTCGCGTGACTTCAGCTTTCGACCAAACTGCGTATCAATTATGAAGAGCGTGAAAAGACAAAATTAGTCGCTCACGCAAAACTCATTACCTTCTTAACTAATCAACTTCATGGTACGCAATTTAAGTCCTGGCTTTCTACTTCTAAGGATGTAACAAAAGTTTTCGCTGCATCCTGTGCATTAACGATCACTAAAAGGCGAAACACTGAAATTCATTCTTGAGCATGCATACCATAAGGGCATAATTGTACCGTCTTTGTTAATCAAATCTTTTCTTTGAACCACCTTTCTTTGCCTCAAGCCAAGTAAGAATTTCCTTTCTGCGGTGGATCATAAATAACTTATGCCATAGTTCTACCAACTCGCTCGAATACACGAATTCAGTCCTCGTTTTAGGTTTTTTCAAATGTAAACCAACATGTAGATCAACTTTGGTAAAAAAAGTCAGGTTTTTCAAAAGATAACATGATTAACTGCGTTATGTTGCTCGCTGTGACGAACTGAAAGGTTTCTTTACCAAGAATTAAAAAGCGTTACTCCTGTGTAAAGTTTTAAGTTTAACAAGACAAGCCATTTTGGTTGAGTTTAGATGAGCCTCTCAACTCATCCATCGTGCATGATCATTGAAGAGACAGTGACTGTTTTTTTTTTTCTAAAGTTAACTTTGCTTAAGCGCCCCTCCTTTTTGAATTTAGATGAAATAAATGATTCATTACATTTGATATTAGTAGGAGAAACTTGTGCGATTACTTCAAATTTAAGATTCAGTTGTTGTAAACCAAAGAAATATATGAAATGAAAAGTACTTATCGCCTTGGTAAACTTTGAAATATACACAAACCATAACAAAGTCATAACTGTGGTAAAATCTTACCTTGTCCTTCCGGTATTAGGGAGGCCAAAACAATGAGAACGAAGTAGTAGAGTACAGAGAGCATGTTCTCAGAAAACACCAGTTATAACTCCAGCGAACAGCCACAGTGAGTTTTTCAAACATGAAGGAAACATCACACAAGATATGACAGCTCAAGTTTGCTCTCCGTTCAAATACTCCACTCCTTTATTATCTATGAGGTTTTCAGTTGTTTTCGTACTTCAATTAGTTACTTTGGGATTTAGTTGGTTGATAAAACTCGATTATACATAATGCACGTAAATCTTTTCTAATACAAAACATTTATTAGGAAATGGGACCTATGCCAGTCGACGAAGCGA